CACTCGGAACACCGAAGTGACGCCAACCGCAGATGAAGGAAAAAGAGGACAAGGGCATCCAGAGGTTCCACACGGGTGGTTTGGGGACTGGGATCAACTGCGCCGCAGTCGCAGAGAGCCAGAAGACTGATAGCTCTGTTGGGAGTAAGAAGTAGTCGAGGATCGTAAAGTGTAATTGATAGGATGCACTGGTTTGGTTTAATTTCCCTAGCAGCAACCAGGCCACGGTCGCCAATAGAGATGGCATCAGAGATGTGGAGCAGAGAAGTCCCGGGTTTGGTGAGGGGCTTGTTCAGGCAGTTTACCCAAGAATGGAAGGCAGCAAATTTGTCTTCCATTAGTGGAAACAGGGGTTTTAAAAATGGCCACCAGCCAGACCTAAGGAATAGAAGGGGAAATACAAGCAAGGTGAAGGGATTTGCAGTTCTGGAGGCGAAACCAAGACCAAACAGCGATATGTGAAAGTGTAGCGGGTTTGGGATAATGCAAAATTAAGCATTGGACACTTGGTAGAAAAAAAACACTTAGATACCAGGATTCTATAATAGACTACAATTTCCGTGAGGAAGTCTGCTCACCTGAGGAGACAAAGCGGAAGGGAGATGCCTTCAAGGAGTCAGTGACTAACCTCAGGAAGTGTTAACCGGAATAACGAACTTTGTTTTCGATTAAGAAGTGTTACTTAGGTCGGGTTGTAAGATCGATCATTGTGCGGGACAATTCCATGAAATTGCGGATACGCCATGAAGTCAGCTTTTGAATGCACGCCTTTACGGCCGACCGCATAAACAGCGTTTGATTAAAAAATGACTGCCTAGGCATCATGCAGTTTGTATATTGATTTTCGATGCCCTTATAAATTCCAACATATTGTACAGAAACCACAATCAAAATATTCTTTCGTGCACTTAGATGGTAGCAAATCACGCCTCTCTCAAATGTTATACTCGAATAAAGACTCGTTTTTCGGTCTTCAAAAATATTTTAATCACGCGATTTCGAAGAATGTACAAGTCCACTCTAACAGCATCACATAATTAAGAATACCACAGAGTCCACATCGGTTGCAACACTTATGAGCACAATATGGTATGTTCTAAATAGAATATATGAATGTATGCTTTTTATTTACACAGAAAGTATGCTACTTGTAGAATACAAACCCTAAACTCAGATGCAAGGGCAACATGAAAAGGCTTGACCTGATAACTTTATTCGGGTTTGAAAAAAAAGATCAAAACTGGGTGACCGGTTCACGGACAGCACCTTCACGATGGCATCATGTACTTGAATAAAATTGCCGAAATACGTGTTTGGACTTTTAGCTAGGGTAAGTTGGGATGTAGGGTTGGTAGTTACGGAGAAGGAACACAGCCCTGGTAGCATTAATTCTTGTGCAAGTGTTTAATGTTTATCTGTCGGCCCACAACTCCCACCCGACTCTCGCCTGCGGTTCCTCGAAGCTAGGCTCTGCCTAGCGGCCACACTCCGGTAACCGCCTCGACCGGCGGGC